CGCGCATGCGCACACCTCCCGCCAGCCAGTTGATTTTCAGGATGCATGGGGGAGCGGGGTGCATGTGGGAGATGTGTGCGCATCCGCGGGGGTCATGTGCGCATGATAAAAACATATGAAGAATGGTTGTAGGAATTGGGTTTGTCTAGTCTAGTGAAAAGGACTAGACAGGAGACATGATAACAGTGTTCCAATATTAGAGGGGCTGCCACAAAGAAGAGGGGAGGTCAACCGATTCTCCACAGCACCAGAAGGCAAGGCAAGACAAGAAGTAACGGATGGAAGCTCATCAAAGAGAGATCCAGCCTAGAACTAAGGAGAAACTTCCTAACAGAGAGAACAATTAACCAGTAGAACTACTTGCCTTCAGAAGTTGTGGGTGCTCCATCACTTTTAAGAAGAAACTGGACAGCCATTTGTTTCGAATGGTATAGGGCAGTGATGGCGAACCTTTTTGGCATGTGCCAAAAGTGGAGGGAGTGCAGGGGGGTCATGCGCACGCATGCCCACACCTGTAATTCAATGCACCCTGCCCCCTCCACGCATGCACATGTGACCCCCCCCCTGCACTCCCCCTGCTTTTGGCACGCGATGGCATGGTGGGCCCGTTAAGCCCGTTTTTCGCCCTCCCCAGGCTCTAGAGGTTTTCTAGGAGCCTGGGGAGGGCGAAAACAGCCTTCCCCCCCCACACACACACACAAAAGAAACGGCCAGTTTCCCAACTTCCGGTGGGCCCAAAAATCAGTTGGCTGGCACACACATGTGCGCTGGAACTCAGCTAGGGCAAAGCTCACATGCCCACCAATATTGCTCCATGTGCCACCTGTAGCACGTGTGCCATAGGTTCGCCATCACGGGTATAGGGTCTCCTGCTTGAGCAGGGGATTGGACTTCCTTGGAAGACCTCCAAGCTACCTTCCAACTCTTATTATTCTGTTAAATTACAGGTAAAGTGAAGGATGGTGTGCTGTAGTTCAGGTGTTAGAATAACAAAGGGGTCTCCAAACTTGGACGCGGTGGCTCAGTATCTAAGACGCTGAACTTGTTGATTGAAAAGTCAGTAGTTCAGTGGTTCGAATCCCTAGTCCCGCGTAACGGGATGAGCTCCTGTTACTTGTCCTAGCTTCTGCCAACCTAGCAGTTCGAAAGCACGTAAAAAATGCAAGTAGAAAAACAGGGACCACCTCTGGTGGGAAGGTAACAGCGTTCCGTGCGCCTTTGGCATTGAATCATGCCGGCCACATGACCACGGAGACGTCTTCGGACAGCGCTGACTCTTCGGCTTTGAAACGGAGATGAGCACCGCCCCCTAGTGTCGGGAACAACTAGCCCATATGTGCGAGGGGAACCTTTACCTTTACCTCCAAACTTGGCAACTTTAAGACTTGTGGACTTCAACTCCCAGAATTCCCCACTCAGCCATGGGAGTTGAAGTCCACAAGTCTTAAGGTTGCCAAGTTTGGAGGCCCCTGGAATAGCATTTAAGAGACTCAACCATGGAATGTCTCCCATGGACTTCTAACCAGGACACCTAACCATAGACCCAAGCATGGAAGCTTACTGGGTGACTTTGGATAGGCCATTCTCTTTCAACCCAATCCAACTCACAGAGCTGCTTTTAGGGGGAAATGGGAGGAGGGAAAAGTTCAATGCCTTGAGTTCTTGAAGGAAACCCAACAATAAAATGAATTGTGCCTATCATTCACAAAAGGTAATGTTAGTTATATAGTGTCATGTGTCTTACAAATCCCGATTCGGGAAGTGGGTTGCATCTTCCCAACTTATAAAGAACTGTCAAAGAAAAATAAGAGACGACACATACCAACCAACCAGTTTGCCGTGATGAAAAGGGAAGGTAGGCATTCTATAAAACACTACGCATTGCCCACATAATTTAGGATTCATCAGAATTCAGCTCTGCAATGCAGGCCTATCTAGTGGACATGTATAATCACCAGCAGTTGATGCATATTTGCAATGCAAACAAGCCCAAGTAGTTTTTTTTTAAAAAATGACCCTGTGTAACTCGAATGCATATCCCTGTGCCCAAGAAGAAGAAAAATAGACTGTTGATCCTATGTACTGTTTTCTGAAGCTGTTTATCTCCTAACCACACAGATCTTCATGCATTAATAAGAGCAAATCTATATTCCTTATAGTCCAAGAGAATTCAAACCATCTGCCCTAAAAACAATGTTTAAAAGCTTCCTAATTAATAATGTGGGCTTCAATATTAGACACCAAAGGCATGCGAGCAGAAACAAACCAGCTCTCGCAGAGAAAAACTCCTATCAAAATATTGGAAAATGAATTGTTTAACTCCAGCAATCTGAAATTCATCACAATGTACAAAACGTATTTGTGCAAAAAAAAATGCTTTATGAAGTTCTTTTGCTGTAGAAGAAAATTATTAGTTCAATTTCTATCACGTATTTCTTTGGGAGTATAATTTGACATATCCGTATGACTGCCTTGATTTCCCCAACCACCCCAAAAAAACCCTCCAAAATCCCTGAACTTGGTTAGAATGAATGACAGACTGTCTCAGAATTACCTATCTCCCCAGGCCTACCGGTACTTCAAAATCTGGATCATTTTAGCACATTCAGGATGCTGTATTCTCACAACATTCAGAACCACAAATTAGCCAACTACTTTTAAGGCTAACCACTCTACAAATCCAATCTGCATAGTTCATTTATAGATCATTTTATTGTGTTAACCCACAAAACTGGAGTCATTGCATCAATTATTGATTACATTTGTTGTGTATTGTACATAGAAATTCTGGCTCCCGAGACCCTACTTCGCCATTACGGGAAAAGAATGCCAAAATGGAGAGGCGTAGCCTTGATCCAGCCTTTTTAAAGTTCTTTTTAAAAACGAACATTAAGTTTATAGGGGTCTGCAGATTTACAGCGTGGTCCTATTTATTAGGCAGATGCTTAGGACTGAAACCATACATGCATTTAACCAGAAGAAGGCTAACTAGAAAAATTATACATTCAAAGAAGAATAGCAATTCTTCTATTTTCCCACGTCATTCATGCTTGTCCTGAATGAGTCATGCTCTTCAGGATCTCCAGCAAGGTTTATTCACCATCAGTTATCTGATCATTTTAAATTGGAAATGCCAGTTATTAAATTTGGCACCTTTCTGCATGTAGAACCATTGCGGTACAATAGTTAAGGTGCTGGATTAGAAATTAGGAAACCATGATTTCTAGTCCTCCTTTAACTACAAAGCTGGCAAGGTTGACTTTGGGCCAGTCTTTCAATCTCGGTCTACTAAACCCATTTCACATGATTGTTGTTATGGGGGGGGGGGAAGGAAGCGAGAGCAGTATATATACAGTGTCCTGATTTGTTTGTAAAAATCAAGGTGACATATAAACATGGATACCAACTTAAATAAGAATTTGTGGAAAACCAAGGAGCAAAGGTCCACCAATTACAATATACTTAAAGGTTCTACAGCACAAACCTATCGATCAGAAAAGTGGTTTACTGAATTTAATGGGACTTGGTCCCAATTAATACTCTCATAATCAGTTAACAGCAGAATGGCCCTTCCAGGTAAGGATGCTTTTCTTCGAAATCGGCATTTCTCAAATTTGGCAATTTTAAAACACGTGGTCTTCAACTCCCAGTATTCCCCAGCTATGCTATGTAATATATAATATAATATCCTGTTTCCCCCAAAATAAGACATCCCCTGATAATAAGCCCAATGGGGCTTTTGAGCACATGGCAATAAGGCCAAGCGCTTATTACAGGGTTCAAAAAAATATAAAAAAGGCTCTTATTTTTGGGGAAACACAGGTAATTTACAGACCCCCTCACATCCTGGACATAAACTGTTTCAACTCCTACCCTCCAAACGAGGCTATAGAGCACTGCATACCAGAACAACTAGACACAAGGACAGTTTTTTCCCAAACACCATCACTCTGCTAAACAAATAATTCCCTCAACAGTCAAATTATTCACATTAGGCTGCATTGCTATTAATCTTCTCACCTATCACCCATCTCCTCCCACTTATGACTGCATGACTGTAATTTTGTTGCTTGTATCCTTACGATTTATATTGATATTGTTTCCCGATTGCTTATTTGTACCCTATGACTATCATTAAGTATTGTACCTTATGATTCTTGATGAATGTATCTTTTATGTACACTAAGAGCGTATGCACCAAAGACAAATTCCTTGTGTGTCCCATCACACATGGCCAATAAAAAAATTATAATCTATTCTATATAACAACAGAGTTGGGAGGGACCATGGAGGTCTTCTAGTCCAACCCCCTGCTTAGGCAGGAAACCCTACACCACTTCAGATTTGTTATGATACACTGGCTGGGAAATTCTGTAAATTTATTTATTTATTTTATTTATTAATTCAATTTGTATGCAGCCCCTCTCCGAAGACTCAGGGCGGCATACAACTGACAATCCACATGCCTTTAAACTTGCTAAATTTGAGAAAGGGCCTTTTAAATGCTAGTCAGCCAGATGACAAAAGTCAAGGGAAATATTAGCCCACATTAAACCTCCATTCCTGGGTACCAAAAAGGACCCCTTCCAGCTTCTGGGACTCCCAAGAGAAACAAGCCTCTGGGAGTGTCAGGCACCTGCATGGGGCGAAGGGGGGGTCCCAGCAAAATTAAAAAGCGGGGCTGTGCTCCTTCATATGGAAGGCAAAATCCAACCCACGCCTTCTTTTTCCTCCATATGCTTTTTTTTTTTTTGGACTTCAGCTCCCAGAATTCCCTGCACCGCTCAGCCATTGGCTTTACCGCTTAGGGAATTCTGGGAGATGAAGTCCAAAGGAGTAAAGGAAGCTGCTTTGCAGAAAGGAAAGGGGAAAAAATGGACCCCCCCTTAAGGGCTAAGGCGCCGAGCTAAGGCGTTGCATTCCGGGAAGCCCGAGGGAAGATGATCCAACAGGCTCAGCAAAAAAGCCGCATGTTCTGACCTCGGCGCGGCCACACTTACCGTGCCCCTGGTTCCGCCGGCGGCGTTCTCACGTCGACGGCGCGCCGCTGCCCGCCGCGCGCAACGATTGGTGGAGAATCCGGTTTCTCCCATCAGCCCTTGCGGCGGCGCGCCAAGCGGGCCCCGCCCACACCCTTATGACGCTAGCGGGGGAGGGATGGTGGGGGGGAATAGGGCGCACGAATAATACGAAATAAAAATGAGACTGGCTTAACGTTGGAAATGCTTGGGGTTTTTTTCTTTCTTTCTTTCTTTCTTTCTTTCCTTTGTGTGGATCTTTCTTTCTTTTGTGTTCTTTCCCGGAGTGTGGGCAGAATGAGATCTGGGTGGCGGGCGTCAGACGCCTCCCTAAATCACGACTAGCAAGGCTTCGTTGCTATGGAAACAGGAGGCCGTACAGCTTCCATTCGGTGGCCATGAAAAATCCAAGAGGGGGAGGGAACGGGGTGGTAACTGGTGGAAAACACATCTGCAAAAAGGAAGAATAAAACATGCATTAAAGTCAGGCCAAAAAGCCAATCACTGATTATAGGTAGTCCTTGACATGAGCCCAATTGGGCCCAGAATTTCCATTGCTAAGGAAAGCAATGTTTTGTTTTGTCTTGGCCATGATTCATATGTGACTCATGCAGTTGTTAAGTGAGTCACCCGGTTGCTAAGTGAGTCCAGCTTCTCTCCTTGACTTTGCTTGTTGGAAGCCAGCTGGGAAAGTTCTAAATGGCAATTGCATGACCCTCGGATGCTGCCACCATCATAAATACATAACGGTTGACAAGTGCCTGGATTCTGATTACATGAACACGGGGATGCTGTGCTAGTCATAAGTGCGAGGACTGATCATAAGTCATTTTTGTCAGTGGCGTAACTTCAAATGGTTGTTCAACTTAAGCTTGATTTAGACTTCTGCATCACTGCACATCAGGGAACATATGTGTTTGCCGTTTGAAGATACCTGCGTAGCTGTTGCACCTCTGCAAATGTTAAAGTTCTTGAGTAATAATACTGTGCAATTATTTATCATCTGCAGATTCCAATCTTAAAGTGCAGGCTTACACACTGTACACACTGGGAGAACATCAAAACATGCTACAACATCAATGGTTGAGGCTGCCAGAACTTTGAATCTCCCTTAACACCCGAAGCAGTAAAAGAAAAAGTAAAGAAGATGATGATAGCAGCAAGACAGATCATAAGAGAAGCCCTTTGGAATTCTGGCTGCAACATGATACTACTATCATGTCGCCCTTAATTCTTCTTTTCTTTAGACTAACCCAGGGATCTGCAACCTTAAACACTCAAAGAGCCATTTGGACCCGTTTCCCACAGAAAAGAAAACGCCGGGAGCCACAAAACCCTACCCGTGCCTGACTATTTCTTGAGCGGCCACAAAACTAGCCTATGTAGTTGAATTAAACGTTCTGTTTTCTTCTGAAACTTTTCTTTTCTTGGATTTATCCATGGTTGGCCTACCGGGGGTCGAAAAGCTCAATAAATCGCGTGCCAGCGGGTACTGCACACTGGCGGTTGTGACACATATTTTGAGTGACAGGAAGCCGCAGCAGAGGGGTAAAAGAGCCACATGCGGCTCCAGAGCCGCAGGTTGCTGACCCCTGGACTAGATGACCTGCAAGGTCCCCCTTCCAACTCTGTTAATCTGTTAAAAACCCCTATCCCATTCTGAACAAACGGCGCGCAATCTCTTCTTTAAAAGCCTCCAGTAATGGAGAGCACCCATAATTTCCCAGTAGCATTTTCTTGATAATATGTTTTTTTGCAGCTTTAGAGGCAACATCAAGAAAAAAGGAACAAAGGGTCGAAGCACAAAAGAGCAGCAGAAGTGAAGAGTGAAGAAAGCTCACTTCTCATCTTCCTAGCAGTTATATTCTATAGAGACCTCCCAAGAAAGGGGTTAGACTAGAAGACCTCCAAGGTTAACCCTGCCCCAGTCCTCTGCTCATTTTAGGGGGTGGGGAAACCCAGGCGAATCCATCAAGGCCTAACTAAATATGTTTTTGATGTGAACTCAGTTCAATTCAAACCTTTATTGTCAGAGTTGTACAACATGTGTACTATGAGATTGGCTGAGCCTCCCTTCGTGCAACCGACCCCACCCCAACACAATACAACTCACAGTGCAAAACAAACAAACAAAAAATAAACCTCGGGATCGGGGGGGGGGATTCCTGGCTCAGAAATCCTGGGAGTTGAAATCCACGAGTCTTTTTAAAAAAAAGGACCCGCAAAGCGCATCCAAAGCGCCCGGGGCGAAGTGCGGAGTAAGGCGGCGAGAGGGCGCTCCAAGGCCGGGCTCAGAGGCGAAGCGAGGCGGGGCGTCTTGCACTGGGTCCTCCCGGGTCGCTGGGAGGCAGGCTTAGCAGCCCCGGAGGAAGAGCCGCGGCGGCGGAGGAGCTTCCCACTCGCCATGCCCTACGCCAACCAGCCCACGGTGCGCATCACGGAGCTGAGCGACGACAACGTCAAGTTCATCATCGAGAACACCGACCTGGCGTGAGCAGCGGCAAAGTCCATCCCACCCGCGTGGCCCAGACCCCCAGAGGACGGGGTGGGGGTGGGGGGGGGCTTTCTCCACGGCCAGCCGGTCTGGACACGCGGGTCTTCCCCCCCCCAACCTGTAGGGATGGCGGAAATCCAGGTACTGGTGGACAGCTGGACACGCGGGTCTCTCCCACTCCCACCCACGTGTGTGGGGGGGAACAGCCACGGACAGCTGGACACGCGGGTCTTTCCCACTCCCACCCACGTGTGTGCGGGGGGGGACAGCCACGGACAGCTGGACACACAGGTCTTTCCCACTCCCACTCACGCGTGTGGGGGGGAACAGCCACGGACAGCTGGACACGCGGGTCTTTCCCACTCCCACCCACGCGTGTGGGGGGGACAGCCACGGACAGCTGGACACCCACCTACGCTTGTGGGGAGGAACAGCCACGGACAGCTGGACACGCGGATCTCTCCCACTCCCACCCGTGCGTGGAGAGATGCAGCGTTGGATGGAAGGAGACACGCGGGTCTTTCCTTCCCACCGGGGCGTGGGAACATCCAGCATGGGGTAAAAGGGAGATCCGTGGGGTGGAAGGGAGACAGGCGGATCTCTCCCACACCCACTCATGCATAGGGAGATGCAGCATGGGGTGGAAGGCAGACACGTTGGTTTTTCACCCCCAACCTGTGGGGGGGGGGGGGAGATCCAGCCACAGACAGCTGGTCTGGATACGTGGGTCGTTCCCACTCACACCTGTGCGTGGGGCATCCAGCATGGGTGGAAGGGAAGCAGGTCCTTCCCTCCCATCCAGGTGTGCGGAGAGGCAATGTAGGGTGGAAGGGAGACATTTAGGTCTTTGTCTCCCACTTACTCGGGGGAAGATCCATCCACGCCAGCTGGTGTGGATACGCGGGTCTCCCCACACACACACACACACACACACATGTGGAGACTTAACTGTCTTGCTTAGCACTGGAAATTTTGGGCTCAATTGTGGTCATAAGGTGATATCTACCTGTATTGCAATGGGACTTGAAGGCGAGCAGTCAAGCTGCAAATGGTTTGCCATGGAGGGTTTGGTGGGGGGTCTCATGGCTCACTCCAGCAAGCCCCACTGCTTTCTCAAACTTGGCAACTTTAAATCGGATGGACTTCAATTCCCAAAATACCCCCCCCCAGCATGAGAAATTGTGGTTCATCAGCCAGTCAGCCAGATATTCAAACTGGATTTGGAATTGTTATCCACCTATCGAGCCCTTCCTAAGAACTGAGATAATTATTACAACAATTACAATTTAGGTGTTATAAATATTGTGCTTTTTTTTTTAATTCCAGAGTCGCAAATTCCATCAGGAGAGTCTTCATAGCAGAAGTTCCTATCATAGGTAATATCCCCCAACATTTGTCAGATTCTCTCATGCATTCGCTTTCTTTTTGCATTAATTTGGGAAGAAAATTCCTTGTGTTTACTTCATTCTTATTTTGTTTTCAGCTATAGACTGGGTTCAGATTGATGCCAATTCATCCGTGCTACACGATGAGTTCATCGCGCACCGATTAGGTAGGTAATCGTAAAACAGAAGGAAAAGACTTTTTTTTTTCTTGCACATTTTTATTTTATTTTATTCAGAAAATGAAAATGCAAGGGAAAATGTACAAAAATAAAACAGAAAGAAAAAGCATCTCTGGGAATTCTTTAAATCCGTATTGGCAACTTTTAAGATATGTGGACTTCAACTCCCAGAATTCCCCAGCCAGCTCTGCTAATTCTGAGAGTTGAAGTCCACATACCTTAAAGTTGGCAAGGTTGAGAAACACTGATCTGTATTTTTCGGACTATAAGACGCACCTAAATTTAGAAGAGGAAAACAACAAAAAAGTTTTTGGCCTGCCTTTTTTGCCTCTTCCAGCCTTTTTTTGGCCCACTTTTGGGGCTTTTTTCAGCCTGTTTTTGAAGCTTTTTTAGGCCAGTTTTTCTGGAAAAAACGGGTCAAAAAAAGCCCCAAAAATGGGCCAAAAAAAGCCCCCAAAATGGGCTGAAAAAAGCCTCAAATACGGGTCAAAAAAAGCCCCCAAAATGGGCCAAAAAAAGCCTCAAATAAGGGCCGAAAAAAGCCATAAAAAACAGGGTGAAAAAAGCCCCCCAAACAACTCAAAAAAAGCCTCAAAAACGGGCCAAAAAGGCTTAAAAAACAGGCTGAGAAAAGCCCCAAAAAGGGCTGAAAAAACCCCAAAAACAGGTTGAATAAAGCCACCAAAATGGGCTGAAAAAAGCCTTGAATATGGGCCGAAAAAAGCCTCAAAAACAGTCAGAAAAAAGCCCCAAAACAGGGCGTGTGGAGGCCAAAAAACGGCTGGCAGGTGGGCGGGGCTTCAACAATATTCGGTCTATAAGATACACAGACATTTTCACCCCCTTTTGAGAAACAAAAAGTGTGTGTTATAGTCCGAAAAATATGATAGATTAAATTAGAATTATTGCTATTTACACATGTTCTGCCAGATAGTTCTGACTCGACTTGAAACTTTTTGATTATTTTTCATCCTCAATTTCTCCCCTTAGGTCTGATCCCGCTTACCAGTGATGGTGTGGTTGATAAACTGCAGTATTCCAGGGTGAGTCTAAGCCGGCAATAAATTATATTTTGGGAGGATCACTATGAGGAAGGAGTTAAAGATAGAGGATCAAAATTCCTGTTTCAATTCTGTGAGTCAGTTGTAAATCACGTGAGCATGGGGATGAGGCAACGGTCATAAGTGTGAAAAATGTTCATGTCCCTAAACAATCCCTAAGTGATCTGTTATAAGTTGAGAACTACCTGTATTTTGCTCCACTTATAGAGGGCATCTGACCCAGAGTGGTGTGGTGGCCTAGAGGGAGAGCTCTTGCCTCACAATCAGGAGGCTGTGAATTTGATCCTAGGTAGAGGCAGATATTTTTCTCTCGGGCACAATGAGAATATTTCTGCTGAACAAAGCTCCGCATTGGCGACAGGAAAGGCATCCGGCCATTAAAACACTCTGCTAGCTCCATTCAGTTGCCCAGACTGCACCCCGCAAGGGATTATGGGGTCGTTAAAAGATGATGATAATGGTATTGTATTCATTGGTATTGTGCTAGACTGGGCTTTTATAATCTCACTTTTCAAAATTTCCCAAGCTTCTTGAGTTGTTTTCCCCATGGATTCTCATCCATGGAATCCTTCCCAAGCTCTCTCTAAATTCATTGAAATTAGCTCTCTTAAAGTCCAAGACTATAGTTTGACTTTGTTCTACTACTAGTGCTTGCATAATGTTGAATTCCATTATTGCATGGTTACTTGCCCCGAAGGTTCCTGTAGCTTCAACACTTTCTATCATTTCATCTCTCTTAGTGAGAATTAAGTCCAATATGGCTGATCCCCTTGTTCCCTTCTTTACTTTTTGGGAAACAAAATTGTCTGCTAGGTTTGTTAGGAACCTGTTGTTGTGACCCAGGCCCAAGTAAGTAGTAGGAAAATCAGTCAGTGAAAAAACAAACAAACTTTATTTGAGCAGCTGAGAATTACTTTGTTCCCAGCGTCGTTCAACTAAATTAAAGCAAATTCCTCCCAACACAAATTCCTCAGTCCTATCTCAAACCTTGGTCCAATTAGGCAAACTGCCAAAGGCCTTTCTTGGCAAATGATCAAAAGTCACAGATACAAAAATAAATACAAGACGTAGACGAAGACGAAGCTACCAACGTTGTTTTCCGGCAAAGCCCAAACACTGTTGCTGCTCTGTTTTAAGCTTTATGGGAGGGGCCAATCATCTCTTGGCCCTACTCCCAAGTCATCCTCTTTGCTTGAGCTGCTCTTGCCTTCTGGCAGCTCTTCTCATGCGTGCATTAGGAACAGGCCCCTCCTGTTCCTCTGCCTCACTCCTATCAGTCTCTGGAGGCTCTGGAGTCCGCACCTCACTCCCCGATGGCCCTGGCCCCATCTCTGCCTCTGGCACAGAGCCTCCAGGACTGTCCCATGTTCTTCCTCAGCCTCATCGCTGTCCGACTCCGCTGCCAGCTCCGCAGGCTGCTGGCGGACCACAACACCTGTTAGATCTTCCACTTGGTGCAGAGTTTGTCCCCCATTACTATTGTGATGTGCTTCTTACATACCTTAGTTAGCTGTCTAGCAAAAAGTTAATCTATTTCCTCTGGTTGGGTGGCCTATAGTATAGATCTATGGCATCTGACCATGGCCAGTGAAAATTCGGTCCAGTTTAGAAGACTGACAGTCCCTGGGTGAGTTGAGCTCCAGAAGGACCCCTCATCCTTCCTGTCTCCCCTTTTTACCAGGACTGCAACTGCGATGAATTTTGTCCCGATTGTTCGGTGGAATTCTCCCTCGATGTCCGGTGTAATGAAGACCAGACGCGGCATGTCACATCTCGGGACCTGATCTCCAACAACTCCCAAGTTATACCGGTCAGTGTCCTGTTCTCTGTCTACACACTGCGGTTGGGTCAAGACTAGCGGTGCGTTCTACTTAGCTTTACTACCAGTTTGCAACAGGACCGCAAGAGAGAGGGCAAAGCGAGCTTCCTGCGTAGAAGCTTCCTGACGACATTCGGGTCGGTGGACAGAACCTCCCGCCGGTTTTACTACCGGTTCTTGTGAACCGGTCCGAACTGGAAGCAACCCACCACTGGTCAAGATAAAAGCATAGCCGAGATTCCAAGCAAGCAACTTGATGGTTGTAAGGGGACTATTTACAGACTCTAGAGTAGAGGTCTTCAAACTTGGCAGCTTTAAGACTTGTGGACTTCAAACTCCCAGAATTCTCCAGCCAGCATAGCTGGCTGGAGAATTCTGGGAATTGAAGTCCACAAGTCTTAAAGCTGCCAAGTTTGAAGACCTCTACTCTAGAGAGCTGGTCCAGAAACCCTTTGCTTTTTTCAAAGGACAAATCATGTTATTTGTTGATTTATTATAGTTATTAGTCCATAGGCCATATTCAAGCTTCATGAGTTGAACTGTCAGACCTGCTTCAGCTTTTTTCAAGCTTCAGTCCTGCTTTTTTTTTTTTTTTAAATAAAAATGATCCTTCCCTCCATTTGTTGATAAAGGTATCGTTCACTAGAGGTCAAGTGAATTACAGCAGTTCAAAGCCAAAACTAAAAGAGTTTTTCCCCCAATTAATTTCCCCTCCAGTGGTGGGTTCCTCCCGGTTCGGTCCGGTTCGGCCGAGCCGGTAGCAGTGACGATATGACGTCACCGAACCGGTTCTCCACCCCACCCCCACCCCCACATTATTCTTACCTTTTATTTGGTCCCACCCCCAATCTATTGCTGCCTCCTGAGTCCCAGCTGATGACTAGAGGAAAAAAAACTGTTTAAACTCTTGCAGTGGGGCTTCAAAGATCCGCCCTACAGCTGATCAGTGTTAAAAGCAAACAAATGAGTCGGGTCGTAAGTGCGAGGACTGGTCGTAAGTGCGAGGACCTTCCAGAAATGACTTTGACCAGCTAGCCATGCCCACCTAGTGACATGACCTCCAAGCCACACCCACAAAATAAGCCACGCCCACAGAACCGGTAGTAAAAAAAATTAGAACCCACCCCTGGTCCCTTCCCATTGCTTGTCTCTCCTCATTGTCCAATCAGTTTTAAAAGAGAAGTTTTGGACACAGTCACTCCACGTACGGCATTCTTCTCCCAGGGAACTTTGTAGGTTCTCAAAGAGAAATCTTCAATTCAGTTTTATGTTCCTCCAAGCCTTTGCCGTCTCTTCCAGCCTTCCTCCCCAGGGTTCATGGCAGACTGGCATTTCTGCCAGAATTGCCAACATGGTCCTGAAGAGGAGAAGCCTTCGTTCCTTGTCCTACCTTTCCTTTGTCCTCTGCAGGTGACATCCAGGAGAAGGGACAATGACCCCAATGATTACGTTGAACCAGATGGTACGTTCGCAAATATGGCTGGGCTGGGGAATTCTGGGAGTTGAAGTCCACAAGTCTTAAAAGTTGCCAAGTTTGGAGAGACCCCTGCTTTAGGGAAGACGGAGCATTCTGGCTGATCTATGAGCCATCACTTGAGTAGCACATACCACAGCTGTAGTTGGTAATAAAGAGTCTATTGGCATTGGATAGCTATAATAAGTTTGGGCAGATGATGGAGGTGGTGATCAAGGAAGGTATCGGGATGGAGAAGACTTTTCTGACCAAGACATCCAACATCTTGCTTTATAGCAATAGCACTTTTAGACTTAAATACTGCTTCATAATGCTTTATAGCCCTCTCTAAGCGGTTTACAGAGTCAGCCTATTGCCTCTAACAATCTGGGTCCTCATTTTACCGACCTCAGAAGGATGGAAGGATGAGTCAACCTTGAGCTGGTTAGGATCGAACTCCAGGCTGGGGGCAAAGTTAGTTTGCAATACCGCATTCTGCATTTACGGGCACCCATCACGATTCTGATAAGCCTCCAGTCCGACAAGATGCATCGTTCTTCTTTTTTTTTAGACATCCTGATTGTCAAGTTGCGGAAAGGCCAAGAACTAAGGCTCCGGGCTTATGCCACGAAGGGTTTTGGCAAGGAGCATGCCAAGTGGAACCCCACAGCAGGCGTGGCCTTTGAGTACGATCCAGACAACGCCCTGCGTCATACAGTCTACCCCAAGCCTGAGGAATGGTAGGTGTTCTCATCCAGCTCCCCAAACACGACAAACCCTTTGAAGTGAACTCAAAGATTCCTTTATTAGGCGTGCCAGCAGCCCCAACAAAATAGCAATAGCACATAGACTTATATACCGCTTCATAGTGCTTTTACAGCCCCCTCTAAGCGGTTTACAGAGTCAGCCTCTTGCCCCCAACAATCTGGGTCCTTGTTTTACCCACCTCAGAAGGATGGAAGGCTGAGTCAACCTTGAGCTTGGTGAGAGATGAACTGCCAAATTGCAGGCAGCTGGCAGTCCGTAGAAGTAGCCTGCAGTATTCTAACCACTGCGCCACCTCGGCTCTTTTAAAAGGTTTCTCTCTCACAGCAGACTAAAAAGTCTGTCCGGCAGGGAGATGAATAGTTGTCTGCCACATCTATTCATCTCCTCCCCCTGCCTTTTATCCCCAGAGCTAGGGTGGGGCTTCGCTAGCAGTGGTGGCTCTTCCTTTCCAAGGACCGGCCCATAGATTTCCACTGCTCTCCTCTCCTCTGCCTTCTGTGCATCTGCGTGTCAGGCACTGGACCCAGCTGTTCCTCCTCTTCCTCATCAGCCACCTCCAGACCTGGGGGCTGTTGACTCTCCATCTGAGGGCTGACGGACGGCCCAGACTCCATCTCTGTCTCTGTGCCAGCTCCATTCCCTCTTCCCCCTTGGAGCTCTCAGGTTGCCTTGATGGTGGCTCTGACTCCCACACCTCCTCCTCTGATTCGGCTGCTGGAGGGGCCATCAGGCCACAACAGTAGGTTTCTGTAAACACTCTATTGTTGTTTTTGTTTGGTCATCCAGATGCTTCTGACTTTTGTGACCTGAAAAGCATCTTTTCTCCAGGACTGCCTGTCAGTACCTGCCTCTTTTGAGTTTCGTTTTGTGATCAGTGGTAGGTAGCATCTCACCTCCTTGACTTCTGACATCCTGTTTTTTTTATTGCCTTTGATCTTTTTCAAGCAGCAGGGTCTTCTCTATGGATGTTTAACTTCCCACCTCAACATCAACTCTTCTGTTTCTTGTCTCCTTCTAGGCCGAAGAGTGAATATTCAGAAATCGATGAAGATGAAGCCCAGGCACCCTATGATCCTAACGGGAAGCCAGAAAGGTGAGGGATCGGGTACCTGAATTAGATTTCTCTCCAACTGGAACTCAGCTGGTTGGATAAGGCTACACAGGCAGTCCTTGACTTACAACTGTTCATTTAGTGACCATGGAAAGTTACCATGGACTTCCCTGGGGGGAATGTATGAGCTGGAGTTGAAATTATAATGGTCTACAATGGTCAACAATGTTTTTCCCAAAAAAACAGTATTTACTTCCAGTTTTTGTATAAACATTGGTTTGCTTAATGACCAGGATTCCCTTAACAACTGCAGTAAGTCGCATAACAGCCGCAATAATAGTCATAAAATTGGGTTGGTAATGTGGATGGCCTGGTTTACAATGGTAATGAGTTATAACTCTGATGGGCATGTTTCATTATAGTCGTAACTCGAGGACTGCCTGTGGTCTAAACAGTTCATTAGGGCAATGGCATTCTCTGACCCCCCCTGAAATCAATACAGTACTTGGTTCACACTTCAGTTTAACCTGTGTTTTGTTTTAATCCTGATTTGCTGAACACCATAATTAATGGTGTAGAATGGAATGGAATGGAATGGAATGGAATGGAATGGAATAGAATAGAATAGAATAGAATAGAATAGAATAGAATACCGTTTCTCCAAAAATAAGCCTCAACCAAAAAATAAGTCCTAGCATGGTTTTTCAGGATGCTCATAATATAAGCCCTACCCCCAAAATAAGCCCCAGTTAAGTTCGTCAGCAGACGGAGGCGTTTAGTACTGTATTTCCCTCAAAATAAGACCTAACCGGAAAATAAGCCATAATGCGTCTTTTGGAGCAAAAATTAATATAAGAACTGGTCTTATTTTGGGGGAAACACGGTAGAAAACAATAGAATAGTAGAACAGAAAGAATAGAACAGAAAGAATAGAATAGAACAGAACAGAAAGAATAAGAATAAAATAGAAAACGAAGAATAGAATAGAATATACAACAGAAAGAATAGAAAAGAATAGAAAAACTTCATTGTCACTTTAAATATACACTAATCAGCATACATTAAAATAAAATTTAGTTGCATTCAACTCTCAAAAGATAACCATCATGCATATACCCACATACCCTGTGACTGCCTGCTACCACCAATAGCCTCCCACCGGCCAGTACGCTCCCATAGAGAGGGGCTCCTCCAGGTGCCGTCGGCCAGACAATGTCGACTGGTGGCCCCCAGGGGGAGAGCCTTCTCTGTGGGGGCACCTACTATCTGGAATGAGCTCCCCGCAGAGATACGGAGGATCCTGGATCTGCGCACCTTCCGTCGCGCACTTAAGACTTTTTTATTCCATCAAGCTGGCCTGGCCTAAATCATCTCCCCTTTTTTAAATGTCAATTTTAATTTGTTTTAAATTACGGGGTATTTTAAATTCAGCCAAATTATTTAATTCGTTTTTAATTTATTTTAAATTTTTGTATTTATGTGTTTTATCTTGTGGCTGTTCACCGCCCTGAGTCCTTCGGGAGAAGGGCGGTATAGAAATTTAATAAAATAAAATAAAATACCCACACGTGAATGACACAGAGAAACATCAGTCTATACATGGCGGTGGGAAAGAAGGCTGAAAATTACAAGACGGATGGCTTAAGGAACCAAGCTGTTAATAGAATCTGGCACTCCTGCTATAGACTCTTCGGAACCTCCTCCCAGAGGGAATACCACAATATTGGATCACTTGCCAGGAGCCCCCTGAATGGTCCACTTGGGGGCACATCTGTGCAATAATTACATTAATTAAAACCACAGATTATGAGCGCCAAGCGCTAGGCTTGAATCGTGGCTTAAATGAAGGTCCCTCCAACTTTTTTATCCCCTGCTCAGGTTTTACTACAATGTGGAGTCCTGCGGTTCTCTGCGTCCCGAGACCATTGTTCTCTCCGCCTTATCTGGGTTAAAGAAGAAGTTGAGCGACCTCCAAACCCAGCTGAGTCAAGTGATCCAGAACGAAGTGCTGACAATCAACTGATCCTAGTTGACCGCTTGGAAACAACCCTGATTTCTGGGAAATGATAAAAACAACTGGGATCACAGGAGGGCCCGCCAAATCCGATACTTGGTGTTTTTCTCTTGCTAATTTTGGGTCAAAACAGGCTTTCTTCCAAATCGGTGGGGTTTTTTTTTTCAACCTCAGCCATTTTAAAATATGGGGACTTCAAATCCCAGAATTCCCTAGCCAGCATTGCCTTAGACTGCAATGCCATGTTGGCTGAGGAATGCTGGGAGTTTGAACTGCAAACGTCTTAAAGCCGTTGAAGTTGAGAGACTCTTAAATTGAGAAACAATTTAGCTCTTCTAAATTGCATTCGGCATTCTCTGACAAAATATTGGCCTTAGGTCAGAGATGTCCAACCTTATCAATTTAAGACATGTGGACTTCAACTCCCAGAATTCCCCAGCCAGCCATGCTGGCTGGAGAATTCTGGGAATTGAAGTCCACAGGTTTTTAAATTGTCAAGGTTGGAGACCCCTGCCTTGGATGTAAGAATATGCAGTTTGAGAATAAAACCACCAATCTTATCTCTTGTTTCCTGTTTTTTTGTCTCTTTTGAGATCTTGAATGAAAGATCTCCAGTTTGAAGAAAGTCCGTGTTACACAACAGAGGTTTATCACATAATAAAAAAATAATTTCTGCTTTGAGAAACATGGGTCTGCATTTTTATTTTTATTTTTTTCTCAGAACGTACGCCAGAGTTTGATAGAATCTGTGCAAGGATATATATATACAATATCTTCCCTATCGATTGCACTTTAAATAAAATGGTTTCCTTTTCCTCAGCCTCAATTTTGATACGAAGCAGAGATGGTTGTTATGTGGATCAGGTAAAACCATAGGTCTATGAACCTACGGCAGGCTATTCATTTAATCACTGTTTGAAGTTACAATGGCACTGAATCAGAATAGAGCTGGAAGGGACCTTGGAGGTCTTCTAGTCCAGCCCCCTGCTCAAACAGGAGATCCTATACCCGTGATGGCGAACCCATGGCACGCGTGCCAGAGGTGGCATGCAAAGCGCTCTGTGGGCACGCGCTCCATCGCCAGCTAATCTGGTTTCCGGCACACCAGCCAGCTGGTCTTCATGGGCATCAGAGCGCCGGAAACTGGCCTTGAAATGGCCCAAAAAACAGGCATACTGTCGCCAGCCAGCTGATCTTTGGGTTTCCAGTGCTCCGGCACACACATATGCACACGCATGCCCACACGTTCCGGTTTGGGCACTCGTTGCCAAAAAGGTTCTCCATCGCTGTCCTATACCAGGGGTCGGCAACCTTAAACACTCAAAGAGCCACAAAGGTCCTAACCGGAAGCCCCCGTTCAATTCTGGAGCTGACCGGAAGTCCGGTTTCCCCATCATAGTCTTCCCCTAGCACAGCATCCTTCTTCCTCTGCTGACCGGAAGTCCGGTTCCCCCACCATAGAGTTTCCTCCTAGCATGGCGTCCTTTTTCCTCTCCCTGTCCTAACTGAAAGCCCTATCAATTGTGGAGCCGACCAGCAACAGGGAGCCGCAGCAGAGGGATGAAAGAGCCACATGTGGCTCCAGAGCCACAGGTTGCTGACCCCTGTCCTATACCATTTCAGACAAGTGACTGTCCAGTCTCTTCTTAAAAACAAAAGACTGATAAAAGTGACTTACGACCAGGTTTTTTTGTTGTTGTTTGCAGCATCCCCATAGTCATGCGATCAAAATTCAGACATTAGTCAACTGGCTCATATTTATGATGGCCTTAGTAGTGTCCTGGGGTCATGTGATCATGTGTTTTGCGATATTCTGACAAGCAAAGTTCCTGGGGAAGCCATGATTCCCTTAACAACCGTGTTACTAACTTAACAATGGCAGTGATCAACGCTCAGTAACACTTTCTGATAAGTGGTTTGGGGTAACGAAGGAAAAAGTCTGGGCATTACGGCAGTGGTGGAATTCACATTTTTTTACTATCGGTTCTGTGGGCGTGGCTTGGGAATGGCAGGGGAAGATACTGCAAAATCTCCATTCCCATCCCACTCCAGGGGAAGGATACTGCAAAATCTCCAAAAAAAGGATACTGTATTGGGATGTTTTTTATTCTAGGCTGTGCACCGCCCTGAGTCCAGCAGGAGAAGGGCAGTATAAAAATTTAATAAAATAAATAAATTTAATAAAATAAATAAAATCTCCATTCCTACCCCACTCCAGGAGAAGGATACTGCAAAATCTCCATTCCCTCCCCACTCTAGGGGAAGGATACTGCAAAATCCCCATTCCCGCCCCACTCCAGGGGAAGGATACTGCAAAATCTCCATTCCCTCCCCACTCTAGGGGAAGGATACTGCAAAATCCCCATTCCCTCCCTACTCCAGGGGAAGGATACTGCAAAATCTGCAAAAAAAGGGATACTGTATTGGGATGTTTTTTTATTCTAGGCTGTGCCTGAGTCCAGCAGGAGAAGGGCAGTAAAAAAATTTAATAAAATAAAATAAATAAATTTAATAAAATAAATAAAATCCCCATTCCCACCCCACTCCAGGGGAAGGATACTGCAAAATTTCCATTCCCACCCCACCCTAGAGGAAGGATACTGCAAATTCTCACCCCACTCCTGGGCGAAGCATATTGCAAAATCTCCATTCCCATCCCACTCTGGGGCCAGCCAGAGGTGGTATTTGCTGGTTCTCCGAACTACTCAAAATTTCTGCTACTGATTCTCCAGAACCTGACAGAACCTTCTGGATTTCACCCCTGCATCATCTCTGTTGGTGATAAGCACAAAGGTATTTTGGATGGTAATATAGACAAAACTGTCATGCTAAAAGTATCCACTGGGTGGCATCAGGCACTTGTGGATGAAAATGATGTCTTCAGTCTATGGCAGGGCTTGAACTGATAGTAATAAGTAGTAGTAAGACTGCCAAGGACACAAATACACAACCTGCAGTTAGAACCATCCCTTGCAATAACCAGGCTCAGCTGCCACTCACTCAAAGTTGGCAAAAGCTAGGAAGCTGTTATTCACACAAATGTTTTATTTTATTTATTTATTGTATTTATTTATTTATTTTTATTTTTATACCACCCTTCTCCCGCAGGACTCAGGGCGGTGCACAGCCAAAATAAAACATAGTATACAAAGTTTAAAAACAATTTAAAAACAATTAAATAATTTTGGCCCAATAATTTAAAACAACCCAGATTAAAACCGAATCAATTAAAACTGAGAGGATGGGATCAAGCCAGCCCAGCTAGATGGAATAAGTGTGTTTTTGTTGGAAATACCGATAAATATCAGAAATTACAGCAACTGGAAAATCTTGTTTAAAACAGAACTTGGCACTTGATCTTTTTTTACTCTTCTGTGCTTAATGCAGCACATAAGTTGATTTATATATATATATATATTTGCTAACTTTGTTGAATTCTGAAATGGGGCAGATGCTTGTTATTGCCAGATAAACTCTGGATTCTGCTCCACAATCAAGCCTAAAGCTAGTTTAAAATATACTGCTCAAAAAAATAAAGGGAACACAAGCAGAAGACATCCGAGATCTGAATGAATGAAATAGCCTCATTAAATACTTTGTTCTTTACATACAGTAGTTTATACACTGCGCAAACAACTAAAGGGAACACAAAACTACTGTATGTAACGAACAAAGTATTTAATAAGGCTATTTCATTCATTCAGATCTCGGATGTCTTCTGCTTGTGTTCCCTTTATTTTTTTGAGCAGTGTATATATAAAATATAAAATATATATTTCAGCTTGTTTTTAATCAAATATTCTTTTAAAATAATGGCTATGTTGAGCTGATGCAAGGATGGATTTCGCTGTTGATCATGATTACTTCTGTTTTAAAGTGATTTTTGATCGTCTTTACGCTTTGTATACTGGTTTTTAAATTCTCTTTTATTGGAGTGTTATTGTGAGCCATGCACATTGAAATCATATAACACCATCAAACAACAACATCTGCATATCCCAGGTCCTCGGAAAGGACTCTCAATAGATGGATAAAAATGTAAAATCCAGTCTGAATATCTGGCTGACTGTGTGGACCATCGATAATACCATAACACTGGTCAGATAAAAAGACACAAGAACTGAGCCTTGTTGCTATTACAAAGAGGATTTGAATTTTCCTCTTGGCTGTCTCTAGTTCTGGCCATAAAAAGAGCCCGTAAAGATATTTGTTAGGTGAAACCTGAGAGAAATGCCGCCATTTTGAGATAGGCTAAGTTTTGATTTAGGACGTCCTGTGCAACCAGCCACCAAGGCTCGTAAGCCATCTTGTACAAATCCTACAGATAGTGATTCAATCAATCGCCAGGAGCGGTAAACAAACTATGATTTGAATCCATCTGTAAAGTTTTGAAGAACTTCTGTAAGAAAAGGATCTCTAGAGGTCCTCCATCTTGGCCTTTGCCTAACAACTTGAGTCTATTCTTTAAGAAAAGTCATCTGTTCTTCTATCCTCATTCTGCCACAATGGATTCCTGAGGTTTTTCTCAAAATCCCCCATTTTCTCATTTTCATATCTGTCCTGACAGACCCCAATCCACTCCTCTTGCTACAAGCAATGTGTCAAGTTTCCAAAAGATGCCCTAATTAATTCATGAGCCATGATCCAAACTTCAAAGGAAATATATTTATTTATTAGGAGCACCATTCCAGCAATACTGGGATGCAGTTAGGACTGATCCTACGTAGATTTACGTTCCCCTGTGACCCTGTCTCTCCCCTCCTCTCTGGCCATGTCATAAATCACATTCTCCAATTAACCACTTTGGCTGGCTGTGAAACCTAACACCCTCCTTCTGATTGCGGTCAGGAAGAATGTATGGAATGCACTTCAGTTAGGGAAATCAATCAGCTCTATCAGTTCTCCCTCCCTCCTGCTCATGGCAACTTGAAAGCTTTGCAAGTTGACACAATGTATATCCCTCCCATCGAGCACAAAGAAAATCTGGAATGGTATAGGACCTCCTGCCATGGCCAGGGGTTGGACGAGAAGACCTCTAAGGTCCTTTCCAACCCTATTATCCTATGTTTTAAAGGGCACCAACTTTGGACGATGTGTATGCCATCTGGAGGGAGCTAGGAGCATCCTAACCGTGATAACCGATCGGCTCAGATTCTGCAGGTGTTTTATATAATCTTAAAAAGAGGGCTGTTTTCCCAGGGATGAAAGCTAAAGAGATGTGAGTTCTAGTCCTGCTTTAAGGCATGAAAGCTGGCTGGGTGTCTTTGGGCCAATCACCAGGAGATTGTGAGTTCTAGTCCCGCTTTAGGCATGAAAGCCAGTTGGGTAACTTTGGACCAATCACCAGGAGATTATGAGTTTGTTTGTTTGTTTTAATTTGATTTATATGCCGCCCTTCTCCGGAGACTCAGGGCGGCTTACAGTGCATTAAGCAATAGTCTTCATACTTTTGTATATTTTATACAAAGTCAGTGTTGCAATATTTTTAGGATCAGACTCAATAATGATAATAAAGATTAGCGGTTTAAATATATCTCTCTTTAATCATAACAGGCATTCTATATTCACTGAATATTTACAGATAGAAGCAAGGAAAATGGTGAGGGTGGCTCCTTATATATACAAAGGGCGGAGTCAAGGATGGGAGTGGTGAATTATGAATACATTAGGAAACAAAGAATAAGT